GCCGCAACTGTAGAATCCACCAGAGCACTTGCACAACTGCGGCGTTGTCGCCCCCCACCCCTTGCTCTCGGCATCGTCGCCCAACGATGTGTTGCGCCCCCTCCTGTCGCGGGAGCAGCGCCAGTTAACTGGCGCAGCAGCGCGCATGGCGCGCAGGCCTCGCCTGTCCGCGTTCGCATCGATCGACGTCAGCGCCCGCGGCTCCATGGGCGCGTTAGACTTGGCGTGGCCGGCTGGGATTGTGCGTCTACCAGCGTTCCGCGAGCGTCTGCGTTCACGCGCTCTGGCACGCCGCCCGACTGGACTGCGGCAAGGAGACCCTGCTCTACATCCTTGACAATCATATTGCGCATGTGTGCTCGTGCTGTACTATGCAGAGCTTGACCGACTATGCGTCCCCATGCGCTCTGATTTCTGCGCGTCAGCTCCCCCCAGTGTGCAAAAGTCCTCCACTGGTGGCGGTAAGCCATCGCATATTGGCACCGTCGTGCGTCGCCACGCGCAGCCATCAAGCGCCATGCCTAGCCATGTGTGCGTTGAAACTCCGCGCGCGTTCCATTCGTCCTCGAGCTGTGCGCAAATTTTCTGGGCACCCCGCTCGCCCGTCGCTGGGTAGCGCTGGCAGTCGCAACTTCGGGTGTGCGCCGGAGCCTGCGGCGAGCCACGCGGCGCCGCTGCGCTGGTCGCGGCGCGCCCCAGCAACGGGCGACGAACGGGGCGGGCCCGGGCGGGTCAAATCCCGAGCGCGGGGCGCGCGCCGCGCGCCCATGAACCGCGAAATGACCTCTGCGCTCGCGCAGCGCCGCGGCGGGCGCCGGCGCCGCGCGGGGGGGCCCGGATCTGCGCGCATCGCCCGCGGCGCCCCTCGACGCGCGCAGGCGGCGTGGCGGCGCGGCGACTGTGCGCGCCCGAGCCCGCCGCGCGCGTCTGGGGGCAGCGAACGCGAGCGACGGAAAGGGCGGGCAGTCTGTCACAAATTCTCCAAGCACGCCGCTCGCCCGCAGCGGGGCGGGGCCGGCAACCGCGGCGCTGGGCGCGAGCCGAAGCCTGCGCTGGGCCCCGCAAGGCGGGCGACTGAACAGGCGCGTCGCGCCGCGCGAATCTGCGCGCGAGCGCGCTCGCGCGCGCGCTGCGACCGCCACGCCCGCCAGCAACTGCGCGACTTCGCCCGGGCGCGGGCGCAGAGCTCGTCTTGGAAGAGCGCGTCGCCAGGAAACAACGCCGCGCGCCGACGAGAACTCTATGGCGAAATCGAGCTTCGCCCCGTCTCCCCCTGCAGCGCTGCGCCAGTAGCGGGCGCGGCTGCTGCCACTTAGCGCCCCCTGCACGGGCGCCCTCCGGCGCCCCGGCGGGCGCGCGGCCCGGAAAGCCGCCGCCGGCGGCGGCGCCTGCTGGCGAGCGGTCGCCCTCGGAGCCGCGACTCGCGCACGCGTCGGATGAACGTTTCAATAATTCCAGGGCCAGCGGGGGTCTGCGAGTTGGCGCGCTCGCCGACCCCCGCCATCGCCGCGCGCGCAACGGCGCGAGCCCGACCCCCCGCCTGCGACGCTGCCAACGACCTGCCCGCGATCAAATTCGGCGCGAGCGCGCCCGCGCCCACGCGCCCCGACGCGCCTGGGCACGGGACAAAAAAAACGCAAGTAAACTCGAACCACTGGTCGCGCTTGCGTTTCGGCGCGCGCGGCTGCCGCGCGCCCAGCGCGGCGCCGCGTCCTCCTTCGCCCTTGACCGGGCCCTGGGGCCGCGAGGACTTGCGCCGCCCCTTTGTGCCTTCGGCGTGATGGGACTTGCCCGCGCCTTGTCCATGCCCTTGCTTGGTGGGCGCCCTTCTGAACTGGAACTGCCCTTCCGCGGCCGCCCGGGAAAGTCCGGGGAGACCGCGAGCCGCGCGCTTGCATTCGGCGCGCGCGCACTCTCTGCCCCCTATGCCGCGCGAGGTGACAGACGTTGACAGAACTGCGCCATGCCAGCCCCGCCATGCCAGCCCCGCGTTGCCAGAACTGCGCCACTGGCGCGATCGGCCCACCCCCGCCATGCCAGCTCGTCGTAAACGGCCGCTACAGCCATGGTCTCAGGCACTTCGCACGCGCGGGCGCGACGCGCGCGAGCGACGGCCGGCGGCGGCCGCGCGAAGAAGGGCGCCTGAGGCGCGACCTGCACGCGCGCCATCGCAGCTACAAGACTCGACAGGCCCGCGGAACGCCCAGAGCGGAATGTCTCGCGATGCCGCGACGAGCGCGCGCGCGCGGGAACATCGCGCGTTCTTTTCCCGCGTCGGCGTCATCCTGACCGCCGCGCATCGCAACCGCCTGGTGGGGCAGCCACTCATGCATGTCTGTGTGCAAGAAAAGTTTCGCGGCCCCGTTCACCAGGGCCCGTTGGGCCCGCGCCGCTCGGGCACGCGCGGCGCGGGAAAGTCAGGGGGAAAACGCGCGCGCGAGCTCTCGACTGTCGAGCCAGTCGGCGACGGCCAGCAAGCCCGCGGCAGCTCGGTAAGACT